ATGACCTCTGTAAGGCTTAATTGCTGTCAAAAAGATAAGAGAATGCATCCGGGAAACTATATTAAAGAAATTACCTTGCCAAAGTGAATTGCCAAGAAGAGATCGCTGAACAAAAAACTGACATGCCGAAATTCAATATCTCCCTTCACATGATTCGATGTTGCTCCTGAAACAAGTAAGAAACACAAAAATAAATAGAAACAGTTATGTGAAAAACACATTTTACATGTAAAAGAAAGCCAATGGAACAAAGACAAATAGATATACTTATTTTTTCACTCCTAAACTCGTTTTGCAAACTTATCTCGTTCAACTCTTCCTATACCTTCATAAGTGAGCGTTCATTCCACAAACAACTGAAATCAACACGCTCATTAGATTAGTTACGCACATAAAAATTAAGATCTAAAGGATAATAAACAACAATAAAGGAAAAAAATAGGAGAAGAATAATGAGGTGGAGCAAAAGAAACAACAGAACAATAAACTCAATTCCCTAACCTTAACCCTTAACCCCCTACCCCTAACCCCTAAACCTTGACCCAAAACTGCAAAACTCCTAAGCCCATAAGCCCTATGCCCCCAAAGCCTTAAGCCCTAAACCTTATTTGAATTATATATTCTATTAGTATTTTCTAGATACTACAAACTTCTAGTGTTTCTCTATACTTTAACATTTTGCTCCCTCTATAATCAAAGAAATGATATGCAATTATAGGTTGTTTAAAACACGAAAACAACGAAAAATGAAAAGAAAATTATGGAATAATGAGAATGTTAGGGGTTGAAAATAATAGAAGCAATGATCATAACAAGTAAGAAACATAAAGAGAAGTAGAAATAGTCATGTGCAAAACACATTTTACAGATAAAACAAAGTCAATGGAACTAAGACAAAAAGTTATACTTATCTTTTCACTCCTAAACTCGATTTGTAAACTTATCTCATTCAACTCTTCTTATTACTCCATAAGCAAGCATCTATTTTAAAAACAACTGAAATCAAAATATATATTTTATTAGTTACGTGCATAAAAATAAAAATCTAAAAGATAACAAACAACAATAAGGAAAAAAAATATGAGAAAAATGATGAGGAGGTAAACCAAAAGAACAATAAACTCAAATCCCTAACTCTTAACCCTTAAACCCGTAACCCCATAACTCCTAACCCCCTAACCCCTAACCCCTAACCCCCTAGCCCCTAAACCTTAACCCAAAACTCCAAAAGCCCTAAGCCAGTAAGCCCCAAGCCCCCAAAGCCCCAAGCCCCAAGCCTTAAACCCTATTTGAATTCAATATTTTGTTAGTATCTTTTACATGCTACAAACTCTTAATGTTCCTCCATGTTTTAACATTTTGCACCTCTCCAACTAATTGAATTTAGTTTCCAACATTTAACAATTTTAATAGAAAGATAATATAAAAAATAAAACATAATTTCTCTAATAAAAAAGCAAACAAAACACATATTTTTTTTGTTAACAAAACACATATAATCAAAGAAATGCTATGTAATTATAGGTTGTGTAAAACATGAAAACAACAACAAAAAATATAAAAGAAATTGTGGGATAATGAGAGTATTGGGGGTTGAAAATAATACAAACAATGATCATAACAAGTAAGAAGTAGAAATAGTCATGTGTAAAACACACTTTACATGTAAAAAAAAGTCAATAAAACTAGGACAAATAGATATATTTATCTTTTCACTCCTAAACTCGTTTTGCAAACTTATCTTGTTCAACCCTTCTTATTCATTCATAAGCAAGCATCCATTCCAAAAACAATTGAAATCAAAGCACACATTAGAGTAGTTACACACATAAAAATGAAAATCTAAAGGATAACAAACAATAATAAGAAAAAAAATAGGATAAGAATGATGAGGAGATGGAGCAAAACAGGCATAAGAACAATAAACTCAAATCCCTAACCCCTAAACCCATAACCCCTAACCACTAAACCCTTAAACCTTAACTCAAAAAGTCAAAAGCCTCAAGCCCTAAATCCTATTTGAATTCTATATTTTATTAGTATCTTCTACATTCCACAAACTCCTAATGTTTCTTCGTGCTTTAACCATTTAATTCATCTCGAAGTAATTAAATTTTGTTTTCAACATTTACCAATTTTAATAAAAAGATAATAAAAAAAAAGAAATAAAACATAATTTCTCTAATAAAAAAGCAAATAAAATACTTATAATCAAACAAATGTTATGCAATTATAGGTTGTGTAAAACATGAAAACAACAAAAAATGAAAAGAAAACTGTAGGATAATGAGAGTTTTGGGGGTTGAAAATAATAGAAAGAATGATAATAACAAGTAAGAAACACAAAAAAAAAAATAGAAATAGTCATGTGTAAAGCACATTTTACATGTAGAAGAATGTCAATGGAAATAGGACAAATAGATATAATTATCTTTTCACTCCTAAACTCGTTTTGCAAACTTATCTCATTCAACTCTTCTTATTCCTTCATGAGCAAACATTCATTCCACAAACAACTAAAATCAAAATGTACATTAGATTAGTTATGCAAATAAAAATTAAAATCTAAAGAATAACAAACAACAATAAGGGAAAAAAAATAGAAGAAGAATGATGAGGAGGTGGAGCAAAAGAACAATAAACTCAAATCTTTAACCCTTAACCCCTAACCCCTAAACCCCAAAACCCCTAAACCTTAACCCCTAAACCTTAACCCTTAACCCTTAACCCTTAACCCTTAACCCTTAACCCCTTACCCCTTACCCCTAACCCCTAATCCCTAAACCCTTAAACCTTAACCCCAAAAGCCCTAAGCCCGTAAACTTTATTTGAATTCTATTCTTTTAATATTTTCTACATGCTACAAACTCTTAATGTTCTTCCATACATTAACCTTTTGCTCCCTCTCCAAGTAATTGTATTTTGTTTCTGACATTTAACAATTTTATTAGAAAGATAATAAAAAAAGAAATAAAACATAATTTCTCTAATAGAAAAGCAAACAAAACACATATAATCAAAGAAGAAGTAGAAATAGTCATGTGTAAAACACATTTTACATATAAAAGAAAGTCAATGGAACTAGAACAAATAGATATACTTATCTTTTCACTCTTAAACTCGCTTTAAAAATTAATCTCATTCAACTCTTCTTATTCCTTCATAAGCAAGCATTCATCTCACAAATAACTAAAATCAAAGCATACATTAGATTAATTATGCACATAAAAATGAAAATCTAAAGAATAACAAACAATAATAAGAAAAAAAAATAGAAGAAGAATGATAGGGAGGTCGAGCAAAAGAAGCAAAAGAACAATAAATCTAAATTTCTAACCTCTAAAACCTTTAACCTCCTAACCCCTAAACCCTAAACCTTAACCCAAAACTCCAAAAGCCCTAAGCCCATATGCCCTAAACCCTATTGGAATTTTATATTCTATTAATATATTCTACATGCTACAAACTTCTATTTTTTCTCCATGCTTTAACCTTTTACTCCATCTCCAAGTAATTGAATTTTGTTTTCAATATTTAACAATTTTAACATAAAGATAATAAAAAAAGAAATAAAACATAATTTATCTAATAAAAAAGTAAACAAAATACATATAATCAAAGAAATGTTATGCAATTATAAGTTGTGTAAAACACAAAAACAACAATTAAAAATATAAAGGAAATTGTGGGATAATGAGTGTTGGGGGTTGAAAATAATAGAAAGAATGATCATAACAAATAAGAAACACAAAAAAAAAAATAGAGATAGTCATGTGTAAAACACATTTTATATTTAAAAGAAAGTCAATGGAACTAGGACAAATAAATATACTTATCTTTTCACCCCTAAACTCGTTTTGTAAACTTATCTTGTTCAACTCTTCTTATTTCTTTATAAGCATGCATTTATTCCACAAACAATTAAAATCAAAATACACATTAGATTAGTTACGCATATAAACATGAAAATTCAAAGGATAACAAACAACAATAAGGAAAAAAAAATAGGAGAAGAATGATGAGAAGGTGGAGCAAATTAAGCAAAAGAATAATAAAGCCAAATCCCTAACCCTAAACCCTTAACCTTTAACCCCCTAAACCTTAACCCAAAATCCTGAAAACCCTTAGCCCATAAGCCTCAAGTCCTAAACCCTATTTGAATTCTATATTCTATTACTATTTTCTACATGTTACAATCTCCTAATGTTCCTCCATATTTTAAATTTTTGCTCCCTCTCCAAGTAAATGAATTTTGTTTCCAATATTTAACAATTTTATTAGAAAGATAACAAAAAATATATTTAGTTAACCCCTTCTAATCAAATATGTCATTTGACTTATTTAATTACTCTCATTTAATTTTTAAAATTATTTTAAATTAAATTTTTTTTCATGTTTCTTCACTTTTTTATATTTTATAAATATTATTTTAATTTCTTTATGATTAATTTTTTAGTAAGGTTAAAAAAAGGGTGAACACATTGTGATGACAAGGGCAAAATAAATTCCATGTGCTCGCTAGTTTAATATAATTAGGGTGTTAATTGAGATGAATTATTTGTATTTGGCTCGAATAAAACTTGTGTCGTAAACGAGCTGAATTTGAATAATTTTTTAAGCTCGTTTAAAAAAAACGAGCCTAAAAAGACTCGGCTTAAACTCTCAACACTTGATTAATTTATATAAAAAATAGTCGAGCTATTCGGATTCGGTCTGGACTCAGGCTTGGTTCGAGTTCAAAATAAGTCGAGTTTAAACAATTTTTTTGACTCATCTAATAAAATAAATTCGACAAACTCAAAATCAAAATCATGTTCGCAAAGTTTAATTCAATTAACACCAGCATTATAATTAATTTTGTTGTACCCAGATTAAATTGGGGATCCATTAACCCGGTTTTCTTGTCAGGTTGGTGTTTTCTCCGGGTTTAATAATTATTCCAATAAAACCTATCGACCCCATCATTTGCTTCGTTAGGTCTTGCCTAAAGCGTTTTTGGGATGGCGAATCACCTGTACGGCTACAACCCTACTAGCTATGGAGGTGCTGCCAATCTGAGCAGCGTCTATACATCGAGATCAGTCGCCGATCCCTACCTGTCGGCTGACTCTTCATTGCTGAGCTCTTCCAGATACCTTACCTCGGACATCCTTTCTTCGTCCTCAGCCTCCAACTTATCATCCATCTATTCCTCCATCATCAGCGACAGAGGTCCCTCCTCCATGCTCTTCTCCCACACCGACGCTCTCGCCGGCGGTTATTCGGTGGCGACCGGCAATAGAGTTCCTGGTGTTTCTGTTACTACGGGATCCTGGCTCGGGCCGCCCGGTGTTGATGTCGGCGCTGCTGCTGCTTCTTCTTTGGATCCTCGTCTTGCCGGACTCAAGCGGCCGGCCTCTGAAGGTAAGGCTTCTAACACCTTCCCTGTCTCCCTGAATGCTTTTCATTACTAATTATCTTTTTTCGATTTTCTAATTCAGCTCCTAGTTCTAGATGTGCATATGTTATTAGTTTCCTCGCTGGGTCCTGTTTAAGATGGAAGTATGGAACATTGAGGAACATTTACATTCAAGCATGCACAGGCTCGAAAAATAACAAATTATGACGTAATTCATCATTGTGCAAATCAATTGTTTCTTTCTTGGCCCTCTGAATTGTTTGGCAAGGTGAGGGGATTGATGGATGATGCTGATTGAAGGAAGAGATAGGAGATGATTTGAAGTGAGGAACACGAGTGTAGCGTTGTAGGGTGTGTGCCACCCATCTTTCTAACTATTGATAGTATTTGGAGTGGTGGTGTAGAACTAGCATTGTACATGAAAAGGTGGAATATATTTATAACGAGGAAATAACTCTTAGTCAGAAGGTAGTGAAATTATTAATTTTCAAATCATAAGAAATTGAAAACATTGTAAGGGTCCAATCAGTATAATCTGCAATCCAATTGGAATGGTGTAAGCTATATATTATCTTAGATAACCCTACTTAAGTTACTTTTGGAGAGCAGTATTATCGAGGTGATACTCTCTACACCAAGTGTAATCTGTTGAGCAGCTCAGAATGAATATCTGAACTCCATAAGTTGAGGAAAGGTTTTTCCTGTGCTATTTTCATACTAATTCACTATTTTCCCTTTCTTCATGCTAATTGAGCCTTTTCTGTAGGGTTATTATGATATACTATCATTTTGGTTTCATATACATGTGTAGTTGATGTCTACGTCGAGAAAAAATGAATTTACCCACGTGTTGAATTTTTAAGTGAGTATTTGACCTAATTTGCCATAGTTTTCGTGATGCCAATACTCTATAGGCATGTGGGCATGCATGTTTGATCTTGAATGTGTTCAAAGTATTGATTGATACTAATATGAGGTTTACTCCTATCTAACTCGACACTTATATTGTGAGATTAATACGTGTTCGTGTATACTACGAGTCTCATGTCTTTTACACCGTGATATGTCCACAATCTCTCGCATGTCCAACTTGCTCTATCTAGCTTTTTGTACATATTGCCTAATACCGCTCCGTTATGCCTCAACTAGTGTGTTTTAGTACTTTTTGAGTTAATTGTTGATACCATGACATTGAACCATGTTCATGTAGGATTGAAATCACCTTGTTGTTTTGACCTATCTCGTGAGTGTGTCATGTATACCAATCTTGTTGACTCGTCTGTGTACTGTGGTTCCCTTCATTAGAGTTATTAGTAAAAATGTTTATTTTGCTTTGAACATACGCGGACACATATGTATGTGAAGGAATATTCTTGTATGATTAGTGCCAACTTGATTTTTTTTTTTCTTGTTTCGCTAGTGTATTGTAAATGTGATAATTGAATGTGTCCCTAGAGTATGTTAAGAGGTAATTATGTCTTTAATTTTCCTATAGATGGTACATAAATTCTTATCCATCAAAAAAGAAAGAAATAAAGAGGTATATAAACTCCTAACTTTATTTTCTACCCTTGCAGAGTGATGTAATTGTATGGTTTATTGACTATTTTGCTTTAAGGATCATGGTTATATGATCTTGTCTTGTGATATAAAATCTTTCAATATCATTTAGTTTATGACAAAATTGATTAAAAACTTTGTATTTTGTGTACTTTGCTATTTACGATTTGTTCAATATATGTTTGGTGTAATGCTCATCATCGTAATTCCTTTCTACTAAATATAGATCATACTATATAATAACATATATATTGTGATTTTCTTGTTTATATGTGTCTATTATCTATCGTAGCGCTCTATCCTCAGACTGTCTTGGGTGCCCATAACACTATTGGGCAAAGTGAAGCTTGGTTGTCTACCAACCTTTTAGCCAAACGCCCTAGATTCGAGAATGCAAGCAGTTTGCCTATTTATCCGCAGAGGCCTGGAGAGAAGGACTGTGCCCATTATATGCTCACAAGAACCTGTAAGTTTGGAGATAGCTGCAAGTTTGACCATCCTATTTGGGTTCCAGAGGGTGGAATCCCAGATTGGAAAGAGGTGACTGTTTATTGCAATTTTTATTCTCTGTGATAATGATAGCTAGTAAATTATGTACAAACACTAATTTTATTATTATGGGTTTCCGTGTCCATGTTTCAATGGATTTTATCCTCGCTTATTGGACAAGTGAAGTGAGGTTATCATATGAGCTATATGTACCTCTATGTTACGTAATTATTTTGATTTGTATATAAGTTTTGTTACCTTGTGTTTGCTTGATTCACTCCGTATGACACCTTTGTATGTGGGGAAAGCATCCAAAATGCTATTATGATTACCTAGTTCATAAGCCAAATGAGAAAATACGGTGGGGAATTTTTTTTATTCCCTCCCCCTTTGTCCTCCTTCCATGACAACCTGATTTATTACAATTCAGTTGATGATTGCTTGTGTCAAATTAAATTCATTCCTTGATGGTTTGATCTCTATTTTAATGGTTTGAAGTTTCAACTAAATGCTCATCATTTGTTTCTTCACTTGGCTCTTTATTTGTAAGAGGATTGATACTGTAATTTGCTAATAATCAATATCTTATATTCAGATACAAATCCAATGGAATCTAGAGTCTTCAAAAGTAAACCAAATTAATAAACCTAACAAAATCTAACTCAACAAAACATTTTTCTTTTATACCTTGGTTGGTTAAACAACTTACTAGCTAGGCTGTTTATTTGATTTTGATTTCACACACAAGTTAAATTTATCTGAGACGATGTTTTGTTGCCTATACTCATGCCATCTGGTTGGTAGTAAATATGGATTGAGGAACGTATTAAGTTGTCACAATAATGTGGGAGAATTTTGGGAACAACTTGTGCAACACTTCTAATAGGCATCAAAGTTTATGAAAGTTCTTATGAGACTTTTGTTAGTGGTAAACTGACTTTTGTTATTTTCTGATACAATTATAATTCATCCATTCATATGCCATTGAGGAAAGCTCTCTTGAAAATACTGGCAGTACCCAGTAATTTTTGGGTTTAATAAAGCTGATCCTTTTTTTTTCAATTGTAAACATGATTAAATTGTTAATAAAATGGAGAAAAGTACATGAAAGGACAAGGAGTTTTCAAGGCAATACAAGAGACAAAACAAAAAAAAGAAAAGAAAATGCAGGGACTAGGGAGATAAATAAATAACTATATCTCAACATCATTCGAAATTCGAGTACTCGAGCCCAATGATCTTTGATTAAAAATAGTGCCATCCCTCTACAGTCTTTTGGTGTTGGCACCTAGAGCACAGAAAATAATTTTATTCAATTAGGTAATATTTATGTGATGGTTGTTGGTTCTATTTCTCTTCTGTTTGAATATTCATTCGCATAACACCCTTGCTGCTGTTAGGGGTGTTAGTAGCGACTTAAAAAGGTTATGATCTCAGTGGAAATTCCCTCTTTAATACCCATTATACCCTTATAACATCATATACCAAGACACACACAACACCCCCATCATCATTGCTCACACACCTGACCACCATGCTTTCTCAGTCTCTCTCTTCCCCCCTTCTCTCTCTCTCTTATGAACTATCATGCCACACCACTGCTACCACTACCACACAAGCACCATACTACTACCTACCTTGGACTACTTTTCATTGCATACACCATGCAAAGAATCAAAAACTAAAAATCAAGATCCAATTCACCACCACACTATCATGAAAGTCGGTCTAGTCACTGTTGAACCTTCTCTAGCTCTACTTCTTACCTTATCTTCCTCTCTCACGTTGATGGGCTCCCTTGAATCACACATCCAATTTCTTATATCAGGTGTTTGAACCCGAACGCGTCCCAGATCAGAGCTTCTTAAAATCTCAGCAATTATTAATTTGTACATCCTCTTGTTGTTTGTCATAGTGTGCTCATTCAAGCCCTCTGGTCCAATGTCCATGATTCACCCTTGAAATCAGTAAGCAAATATCAATAAACTGAAAGCAATTGGGTATCCCTCATTTCTTTAGTTCTGAATTTCTGAGAGAAACATAGTGGATCCCATGTATATCTAGGGCGGCATCGAAAGCCACTGCTACCAGTTGAATGAGATAGTAAAATGCTCCAATATGTTGATAATTGTGTTGAATTGGATTGATCACGAGACTCTCTCTCCCTCTCTCTCACTCTCTCTCACCCATGTTGTGAAATGGGTTTGATATTTAGCTAATGATATTGGAGATGTTAGTAGAAGGTGTTGCCACTACAAGGTTGTGTCTTGTTGAGTTGGTTAGGAGATGATTTTTTTGGTAGATGTGGGTTTTGGTTGGATATTCTAATTAGCAGCAGGTTTTGCGTCAGGTGACATCTGATGTTTAGACAACACTGGTGTTGGCTTTGCTATCCATGTCTATTGGAACTCTTCGTGACTATTTGGATGGTACTCTGTATGTGTGCGAGTTTTACAGAAAAGAGATGCACAGTGTGTTTATGTGTGTGTGTGTGCTTGCACAATGATGATGGTGTTTGGGTTGTGCTGCTATGGTGGACGGTGGTGGATGACGAGAGCAGAAATGTCTCTGTGAGAAAGAGAAACATAGAAAAAAAAAAAAACGAATGAAGGAGGAGGAGAACAACTATGGGTTAAAATTGGTGCCTTTTGTCTGACAATATATTGGAAGAATGAGGTTAAAGATGTAAATAGCCAGTTTCTATTGCATCCATTATCTGACAACACATTGTCACTATTTTTTTCTAAAAATTCAAATGGTTTCCCTATAAATATCAATCTATTGGGGGTGTCATCAATATTTGCCCATTATACAATGTCTTTCTTTTTTTTTTTGGGATCAAAATTGTCTTTTCTTTTGTAATGGGACTTTGTCTGTTTGTGTTACATGGTTTTGTTGCCTGGTTTTATATTATTGTTCATCTGTCTATTGGGAAAAAATTGTTGTTGCGTTATTACACTTTTGGCATGATATTTTACTATGGATGTAGGTGCCACTTATTGCTACGAGTGAATCCCTTCCAGAAAGACCAGGGGAGCCAGATTGTCCTGTAAGCAAAAACTATTAGTGTTTTTTTCATGTGGATTATTTGAAACATATAACGTTGCATTAGTTCATGTACTTAATTCCCCTTGCAATGTGCCCTAGTATTTTCTGAAGACTCAAAGGTGCAAGTTTGGTCTTAGATGCAAATTTAACCACCCGAAAGATAAGATGGCTTCTTTGGTAGGTTTATTGCGTGGTAGTTGATTAGCCGTTGTTTTTGTGTTCTTGAAGTTTAATGATTTGCTTGTGGACTTTTGACTTTAGGGTGTCCCTGAGAGTGCTGATGTTTCTGTCTTACCCCAGAGGCCATCTGAGCTTCCATGTGCGGTATGACAATTTCATTTTCTCAGTGGAGCATTCTTTGATATAGGTTGTTGTTGGTTTGATGAACATGTTGCAATATTCAAGCAGTTCTATGTGAAGACTGGAACATGTAAATTTGGTGCCACCTGCAAATTCCATCACCCAAAAGATATTCTGATACCATCAGCTGGACAAGAGAATGGCAGTGGTGAGCAGATTCAAGCAATTAATGATGAAATGGCTGGAGATTTGGAGCTAGTTAAACCTCTTTTTACCCCAGCATTGTTGCATAATTCCAAAGGCCTTCCCATCAGACCGGTAATGTTTGTCTTACAAATTCAAAAACTGCGAAAAAAATACGATT